CCCCAAAACCCCAAAACCCCAAAACCCCAAAACCCCAAAACCCCAAAACCCCAAAACCCCATAAGGCTCATAAAGAATTGAAGGGTTCGAAATTTTAACACTATATTATTGAATATGGAGTCTACTCCAATGATTAGTCCTGAAAAGAATGCAGAACATTCTTTTAAGGATGTTGAAAAGTGAAACGACCAGCTTGGGAAAAATAATAGATCAAATAGTATCCTCCTCTCTTTTGACGGGATTCAAGATGAGGCAATTGAGAAGGTTTCCAAAGATGGAGTTGATACTGAATCTACAGATGATAAAATCAAAGGAATTACTTACATGATGATCGCTGGAGTAAGTTTCTCACTAGGAGCCATTGCTTGAAAATTTGCATATAATAGGAATGAATATTTGACAGGTATCGACTATATTCTTTGAAGATCATTAACCCTGATTATCTGATCTCTGATCCAGGTAATGTCAACAAGGGTCAATGTCCTTGATGTCAAGAAAGGATATAGAGCATTATTAGCCATTAGATGTATTATAGGAGCGATTGGAATGCCATGTTTCTTCATTGCTATGAAATACATTCCTTTAAGCCTATCAACTCTGATCTTCAATATACATCCACTGTTCGTCGGGATACTTGCTTATTTTATTCTGAATGAGAATCTCACAAAACTTAAAATATTGGCTGTTTGTGGGGCTTTAGTAGGCGTATATTTACTGACACTTCATAAGAGCGGCCACGACCAGCAGAGCAAGCATTATACATTAGGCATATGACTTGTGTCAATCACTTGAGTGTGAGCTTCAATTGTGAGTATAATGTTGAGAGTATTGAACAAAGAGATCCATTTCGCGATGAGTCCTTTCTGGTTCAGTGCAACGACGCTAGTCATGTCTCTTTCATTGCTCTGAGTGTATCCAGCTGCTTATAACTTTGCACATTATACATATTCAGAGATAAGCCTCTTTCTTATATCAGGATTCTTTAACTATGGAGGACAGATGTTCAAGTCACTAGCGTTTAAATACTCTGATGCATCTCTTGTGTCACCTTTACAATACTTCAATGTCCTCTATTTGTTCTTAAGCGATATCATAATCTTCAAATCAACCTTCACAGCGTTTGATGGGCTTGGAGGAATGATCATCTTGGTGAGCTTATTGATGCCTATCTTCTACACCATTCATCTAAAGTATTCTAAATCAAAAGAACTTGCAGGCTAATTTCGGTTAAGATTTCACAACAACGACTTATTCAAATAATCAGATTCAATACATCTTTGAAATTCTGGGGTTTTGGGGTTTTGGGGTTTTGGGGTTTTGGGGTTTTGGGGTTTTGGGG